AAATTATATATATTCTTAATTAGCAAGACGAATCAATATAGATATGATAAAAGCTGGAATTTCGTCAATATTGTCCACAATTCAAAAGCGATACAATTATCTACTTTTAAAATTTCAAACAAATTTGTAAATTCTAAGAATAGTTATTAGCTAAACAATTAGCGTTCTCTCTTGCCTTCCTGTCAGCTATATGATTACTATAGTAATCTGAAATGGATGGGTTCGATATGTATTATTTGTGTGCATCAAGAAATATCGTCGCTACTAAATTTCAGTACCATAGCTCTAAAGATGCGGGATCAGTAGTCTAGGCATACTGATCATATAAGTGTGTACCTATAGCCTGTTATCTATATATCTAAAGAGTATAAATAAAACAAAATATTACCCTTAAAAATTTGTCTTAGCAAAGCACAAGGTACACGTTTTAGTAGCACACCGCTAGACATTAAAACTGCATATGTATATACATAAATGTCGGTTCTTATCCAAGACCGCTCTTATGCCATAGGTTATGGCTTTAGCTTTTTTCACTCACATTCCACTAACTGCGACTGATCAGGAGATCGCCACTGAAGAGTGCTCAAAATCATTTGGTGTACACTTACACTCAGCTGGAGATATTTATTCACATCTATACTTCATATTTAGACTTTGAATTAACTTCAACCTTTGAGGACACTCACTCCAACTTTAGGAAGCACTAAAAAATTAAATCTATACAAAAATACAAATTGTCCCAATTTTGAAAAAGTTAAATATTTCTACACATACTAATACAACATTTTCAAATGCTTTATTTGTTTTACACTAATTGTTTATATTTAACATACAAGATTTTGATTAAATTTTCAGCGAAAGAGCCCTAAAACATGCAAATTTATACTTAATACACATTTTGTTGCAATTACCGGCTGCCAACCAACTATCGTATGTACTAATATCTCCACCCTGCACTAACGTATGTTTGTGAAATGCTTATTTATTTAAAAAGTGTGTACAATATATACGTAATTTTTTCAACATATATGTAAGTCGCTGGCATGCTCTTCTTATATTCTATAATGTATTTATATTTTTTACTTTTCGATACACATGCTTGCAGCATTTTTTCGAATATTATTGTTAAAGAATATTTGTCATATTGGCATTTTGTTTTTTGATTTGGCATTTATTTAAACACTTACATATGTAAATTAAAATATGCATTTATGCAAATATCAATTTGCCTTTTTGCACGGCTTATTTATTGAAAATGTAAATATTGTGACTCATCAATATCCATGTTCCATCAACTTATAAATAAATACTATACTTGCAACGAGTATGTATGTCTTTATAGAAATATCTATGTATATGTTGTCTGTATATACTCTGTATACTGTATATTGATTTTATGTTTAATTGCTGAACACACTTTTATAGCCTTTTCGTATTGAGTATTTATTGTTGTTTGTTGCCCATTTGAATATGATTCGTTATGGCCAAATGTGCACTAGGCCATATAAATTTTCAATTCATTCATTACGATGCTTTGAGCAATTTGTTTGGCTGTCAAATTTACATAAATCAGCCAGAGCTCAAAGTTGATTGCCATCAGACTACTTATCATAGCTAAATTTCTAGTAACAATTAGGCGATACAATCTGAAATAGCCAACTAATTCGCGGATGTATAAAAAGTAAGGAGTTAGGAAATAGTTGCGCGGCATATTGTGAGAAAAAAACAAAAATAGAATAAAAGTACGAACAATTTGGGTAATTTTTTTATAAAGCAAACTGGTGTTCCCGTTAATTCAGCTTAAATTAAAGTAAGTAAATCGTGTTTTTATGTTACTTTTTATGTTTAAATATACATATATAAAATGCATAAGCAATAATATTTTGTTATTTGGATACTGGTATAAGCCTGTATATTTCTTTCTTTCTGGAGTCACATTCTCCTCAAGTTTATTCCTAAGCTAACAAACCCTAAACAATTTGAAACTACATATGGTATAATAATTTAAATTGCATTTCGCTTCTGCAAATGGGTTTCTCTTATGTCTACTTCAAACTATATATGTCAATAATTATGCATATTGATTTATGTTTTTTATGGTTTACATATATAAATTGCTTAACATTCGCACACCTATAACTGTGTCAAATGCGACAGCACTTTAATATTTCATTAAATTAAAGCCCAGTTGCTTGCCATACATTTCAGCTACCGTCAATTTTCATATGCCGGATTGTTGGCTGTATGGGCATTTCTTCTCCTATACATTTATATTTTGCATATTTCATATGTAGATAAATATAGAATGTCATATAACATGCCACACGTCCTACTGCAAACATTTTAATATATTTTGTAAATACATATGCGTATACGTAATATTTTTCAAACAATTTTTACTGTTGCTGCTGCTGTTGGAATTAAAACAGGAGCGTGCAACTAAATTTCACTTTGCATTTTACATTTAACATTTTACACTTTATAGCTGCCATTTTATTGCTTTTATTGTTCTGTACTTGTGTGAGATTCCCTGTAAATATGTAAGTGTATGGGTCTGTGTTTGTATTTTATATATGTAGTTAAAAAATTACATTAAAGTGGCATACAATTTTACACTTCACTGCCTGTCTATTATTTTTGTTATTTTTCGCCTATATTTAATTTCACCTTTTTTCACTGTTTGCATTTTGTTGTTGTCTATACTAGTTATTTATTTTTTGCGCATTGTTTGCGCACTATTTTCACTATTGCTGGTTGATTTTTGAAAGATTTTTTTATTGCCTTTAATTAAATTTAAAAAAAAAAGTGATAATTGAAGCTTGGCACACAATGTGAGGCAAAGGCAATTGCATAAAAATAATATTGAAAAAAGGGGTACTAGTGAATACAAAAAGGGGCCTTAATAAAAATTCATTAAGCTTTAAAAATAAAACATTTACAACGTTTAAGTGTGATATTTGTAGCAACTGCAAAATGACGATAAAGCACTACACACACACATACATAGACACACAGACGCATTTGTTCTGGTTCAAATAACTGGTTCCATAAACAAACTCAGATAACTATAATGAAATTTCGAAGCTAACTCTCGCTAGTCGATTTGACTAATTTTTATAAGTTATTAATTGCAAAAAAGTCCTTGGTTTCCCATCTAAAAGCAGCAGGAAAACTAAGCACACACGTATATTTCTATTTATTTTAAGTTATTTCATTTAAAATCAGATTCAACTTGTCTTTATTGGCTTTACAAAATTAGTCTTATTTCTTTTAACATTATTCGTAAGCTGTCACGGGATATAAAGCCTACACAAAATAAATAGCAATTTCAGAAATAAATTAAAGGTAGACAAAATACACATAGTATGTAAATCAAAAATTGTAAGTGCAGTGAGTGAGTATTTTATTTTGTTACAACAATACGAGCAAAGAGTCAGCACAAATATTATTGCACAACACTACTTCAAATGCATGGAATGTCTGGATTTTTTTGTTTTTTTTTTTTTTTTGGCACCAGACCAACACGCGGATGTACAACATCAACTTTTTGGCTGCCACAAAAAGCTAACTACTTTGGCTAATTGCTGTTTGGCAACACTTTAATGCGTCGCTCGCCAAGCATGAACGCGACTGTGCGGTTGTGTAAGTATGCGCGTATATGCGTACGTCTGTGTGCGTGTAAATCTGTGACGGCAACGGAAAAGGAAAAGCAGGCACGCACGCATAGCCTCGAAGCATTTTATGGCCATGTCGTTGCAGTTGAACTCGACTGTTGTGGCAAATGAGCTCACGTAACATCTAACTGTTTCAATTTGGCTGTTCAATAAGGCGCACAAGGAATTTAATAATAAATGCAGCTGATAGTTTAAGTATTTTTGTAGCATTTGCTGCAAATAAATAAATAAACTTGTTTTTGCACACATTTTTGTGTCTGTGTGAATGGTTGGTTGGCCTTTGCTTCCAGGTCGGTCATGCAAATGGCGCCATGACTAACCACGACGATGAACTATCGACATTTTGCGCCTTTTGGCAAATGCAAACAACATTAAAAGCCAATTTGAAATGCTTTGCCGAGGTCGAGGCAGGAGGCAACAAAAATGCAAATCGCATTTGCTGAGACGCGACTGTGCGAAAAGTTCGTTGCATACTTTTGAGCGCAACATGCAATTAAAATGCAAAAAAGACTACTGGCAGCAGGAACTCGTGCAACGCGCCCGCAGCCTCAAAAACCAAAGACTAAAATCGATGCAACAGTCCGAATGGAACTGCTGGGGTGAGGGGGGCTGCGAAGCGGGTGTGGAGTTCAGTTAGCCACGTAGCCAGCGCGCATTGCAAAGTTGAAACGGAAATGCCATGCCGACTGCGCTTCACTGTCTGCGTTGTCTGCGGTTAACGGAAGTTTGGCATTGGTGCTCACTTTCTCACTCTCTCCCTCTCTCTCTCTCTCTCTCTCTCTAATGCAAAAACTATGCGCTTAGCCCCCATGATGCGCGCTCTGCGTATGTGCATGTATGTGTGTGGCTGTGTGCGTGCGTGTTGGCTTAACGTTAAGCTTGTTTAATTTCGTGTTGGAATTTTGCATTTTGTCAACATTCTACAGAGAGTTTTTGATTGATTTTAATTTCGAGAACGGTTGCATTTGGTTCGGCATCCAAAAAAGTGTGGTATGCTATAGTTTGATGTGCACGTTGATTGTTTTTCGTTGCATGTGTGTGCATGTGTAGATTACTCCCCCACTCACTCTATCTCTTTCTCTAACCAGCTCGTGCTTGCTTATCACTTGAATTCACTGAATTCAATGTGTACTATGGACTAGTTTAATTAGCTGCTTAAATTCATTTTGCTGTCTTAACTGGTGTATCACTGGTTGCATTAATTATTGTATAAATATGTACTCGTATATGTATGCTTATATAGATTTCAATAAATATGCGTTCTTTCCTTTCCTTTTCATTTTAAATGTGTAAATCTTATGCAGCATCAATGCTGGTGGCCGTGTCCTAGGGATGCTTCGTATAATTATTTAACGGCATTTCGTTGACATGCGTATGTGCCACCTCCTTGCTGCGCTCGTGCATGCTAATGTCAAGCGGTGCACTGGCGGGTTTCTTCTGTGCGGCTTTCTGCGTTTTCAGCTGCGAACAAAAAATTAAGTGAAATTTACTAAACGCAGTGCAGTAATTAATTGGAAGTTTAAAGATAGTAATCACATTATCGTTTCTATTATGCAATTAAATCTAAAGAAACAAAATATGGACCTGTAATATGATCTTCACAATCTGACAGTACCAAGACCCAACATGTTTATGTGGCCTCCATATTTTCTTTCTTGAAAAAGCTAATGTAATTACAATCATAACCAATTCTACGATGAAGCGAAATAGTTGTTGAACATTTTATATATTTACTCGTTGTATGGTCTTCTCAAAATCCTGATGAGGCTCCGGACGTTTCATGGTGCCGCAGGTCTTCAGGCGTTCGTTGGTCTGTAAAGCAGAAAGAAGCATAATAAATTGGAGGCATATTGTGCTTTTGATTACTTCATTAACTTAAGCAGCGTTCCCACTTCAAAAGCAGCCCACAACCATCTAACCACATAAAACAAATCGACACCTCACAACAAAAGCAGCTTAAGCAAGTCGTCGTCGTCATTGTCGTTGTCATCGTCATTGCCGGAGCTTAAAAACAAAAGTTCAAAATGAAAATGTCAAATGAAATGGCCCCACCCAGCAAATACACATAATGAAAGAGCAACACGGAATTTCCCTAAAGCAACATTTCCGCAACAGACCGCATAATGAGCGACAGGCCAAGTCAAGTTTAGAATATGCACAAATATGTTTAAATGCGAGTATGCGTGCTGACCTGACCTTTTCGTCTATGTAAGTGTGTGTGTGACAGCTGCTACCAGTTAATGCAAGACTACTGGACCAGTCACACCAACGAAAAAAACAAGGTAATGAGTGCCAAAGGACAAAATTGCTTAAGCACAAAAGCACTCGACGACGACTCACAGATTGAGGACTGTGAAGGGAGCCGTGTTTTACAATTGTCGCCTGCACACTCTCATGTCGAGCGCTTAGTTGAAGTCATTTTGAAAATTGACCACAAAACAAAGTAGCGCCGGCTGGCAGGACCCGCTCTAAAGCCATGGCCAGACGGTAGTCGCCGTTGCCGCGCGCAGTGCCAAATTGCGCTTAAATATTAAATGAACACCGACAGCGCAACACAACACAACACAACAGAGGCTGTCCGGAAAGCCCCAGCAGCCGGACCACAAAAAAGCCATGGGCAGCAGCAACCGTAAAACACGAAAAGTTATAAACTCTCGGGAGCTGGAGTGAAAAAAGAAACCAAAGACAGGGGCAGCGAGTGGAGCCCTTGCATAAAAACTTACAAAACACTTGGCACGGCTGAAATAATAAAAACAAATGCGCTCGGGTGCCGAAAAAAGCGCAATCGTGTGTAGGGAATCTGCAAAAGTGGGCGACATCCTTCCTGAGGACGATGAGGCCAGGGGCAAAGCCATCAACCGCAAAAAACAAACGCGAAAAGGTGCAAATGAACGAGCGGACTAGAGATCTAGAGTGGAGAAAGAGTGGGAAAATGCTCTGTGAGGACATCCGCACAAAAGGTTAGCAACGCCTACACAACACAGTTGTCGTTGTCCAGTCGACAGTCTCCTGCTCTTGAAATACATTTGACAGTTCCTATCTCTTACTGCCGCTCTAGCATTTGCATCCTGCACCTAAGCCTCAATTTTACACATACCGGACCAAGCCGACTTCTCTTCCAGCCTTCCCTGTCCAGCCCCTTCATGCCTTGTCCTTCTCTGCTCTGAGCTGCGTGTCCGCATTGTAGGCGTTTCTCTATCTCACCGAGAACGCTTGTTTCAGGGCTACGACAACAGCAACGCAATTAACGGTAATTGCCTTTTATCGGCTTAGCCTCGACAAAGTTTTTTCTACGTGTAGTACTAGTCAACAGTGCCTGTGTTTGTTGTTATCGCGGTTGTTGTCATTGTCGTCGTTGTGGCTATCGTTGCTCCTGTTGTTGCTGTTGTCCTGATGTCGAAGTTTTCCTGTTGTGTCATCCTCCCAGTTTGTTTATTTTTAGGTTTGCACAGTTTTTATATTTTAATTAAATGTAATAAGCACAAGTTGTAGGTACATGAGTAGAATTTGTTTTTAAAAAGAAAATTAAAAACTAAAAACTAGAGCTGTATCATTATTTTTTCCCAATAGCAAATACATAAGTCCTTATAATAATAGAGTAACAGCCCTAACTATGCAATAATATCAAATTATACTATTATCCTAGTCAATTTAAAAATATTCTGTGTATACTACGTTTCGAGAGACCATACCGTTCATATTCCAATTATGTTTCTAGTTGATGACCGGGAATAAATGGAAACCTAATACTCGCCGCTTATAATCACAGCAGAGACAAATGACAAATATTTCGTATTTGTTTTACAAACTCACCTTTAGCTGCATACCCTCCGTTGCATTCAGTTCGTCTCCGCTCTGGCGCAATCCGTTCAGAAATCGTGCAAAGACTGTACGTCGCTGTTTATTTTTGTTGCGCCCCTCTGGAAAAGATACATAAGACCAACAAACAAACAAATAGACAGATAGATAAATAGACATATAAAACGGTGGGTAGACAAAGTTTCAGCACAGACCGGTGTAATTGAATTAAAAACCATAAAACCAAGGAACCGAAAAACCAGATAACTGCCTGCATATCCGCATCCGCATCCTCAACTGAGTGCCGACTCCCAATTGCCAATTACCTGTTGCCGAGAAGTCGTAAAAGAAATTGGTGCGCGCTCCCGGATAACTGTGCTGCATGCCATTCAAATTCATCGCCGACTTGGAGTCGATTGCATTGCGTGCCATCCGATTGGCCAAATCGTTCTGTGTGTAGCTATAGATCTCATTCTCCTCCCGATTGGACAGGCAACTGGATGGCTGAATGAATAACAAATGCAACGCATTAGAGGCAAACGATTGGATTGACCCAACGCGGGGCCGACTCGTAAACTGTGCTCGACCATAAAGTCACAGTTCAACTGGGTCATAAATGTGCACGATTGCCGTTAGCTGCTTACCAAATACTTGCCGGGCACATACAAGGGCTGGCTATGACTGGTGGGCATCACCGAGGAGCTCATGAGGCCACCGGCGCTGCTGGTGCCGGCCGAGCGTCGCGTCAACGTATGGCCCGTCGAGATGCGCACGTGACGCTCCTTCCACTTGGACTGGCGCACCTGTTCAATGGCGTCCAGGACATCCTCGTAAGGCATGTTGATTTGTTTGCTGTAATGTGCCGCTAGGCCTTCCAAATAGCCGCGCTTGCCTTCCTATATATGAAGAATGCGAAAGGAAGATAGGAAGTGTATGAAAACGATATTTTAAATAGTTTATGCATGAACGAGCAAATACTGCTTCTCCAGATCAGTTTCACATTTAACTGCCAACGGACGGGAATTCGTAAAACTCGTAAAAGAAATCTATATAACTGAGATTAAATGCAATTAAAAGGAAAGGAAAGCAATAACACCTATAATCTACCCACTGATAAATAATGCCCCATTCTCTATTAACTAACTAATTTAGTTGCCTCGAAACATATACTCGACCTAACGATAAATAAAACCATTTCAAACTAAGTGAATAAAACCAAAATCAGTCACGATGCCATCTCTAATTTAAAGCTCGAATAGAGGTGCTTTGTGGTTGTGTCTTTCCTGCTGCACAAGTGTTAATATCTTCCGGTAATTAGCGTAAGGTTGCCACTTAAATATGTGCGTATGCTTCTGTCTGCACTGCTGGCGGCTGTCCGTCCTCCTGTCGCTCTCCATTTGCCGGCTTGATATTCAAAGCAGCCACTGAAGCGACAACACAGATGCAGATGCAATGCATCCTTCTAACAGCCCTTCTGCAAATGCTTGCAGCAAACAACTGCATTGAGGAATGTAGTGTGTGTGTGTGTATGTGTGTGTACAAATTCATTTAGCGTCGCATTCATGTAATTCACATGCAAACATTTGTGCTGAAATGCAACTTGTCTGCAACTGTCAGTCAGTCAAGTCGCGCTGTGCCGCGTCATGCCGTCTGTGGCAACTGTCTGGAGAGTATAAACACACACGCACATATACATATATGTGTGTAGATACTCATATATAGTATGTCTGCCTTATCAGCACAAAGTGCAATTAGTTGGAGTTGCCCCAGACAGCGGCCAGAAGCTAACAAGTCCCATACCCCAACCCAAAACCCCATCCATTTGCAATCCTTTGGACCTTTTCTAACCGCTTTGTAGTTGCGCACGAGTGCAGACACCTGTCGGGCAAATTTTTACTCCACTGCATTTTCATTTCATAGAATTTTCTGCTTGCATTTAAGTTACATTTCAATTTTCCAGACGTGGTATTGCGCATACGACATGTGGTGCGGTAAGTGACACAAAATATGGCCGGCAGTGGCAAATATTTGACAACATTTGGTAGCAAACTATGTTAAGTGCGTTGCCGCCTATCTGCCCCCAAAAAGTATACGCATAACAATTCCTAATTAAAATGCAAAGCTGCAGCCTCTGCAAAACTTTCCACACACACACACACTTTGTCTGGCACTTCATCCTGCTCTACGAGTATGTGCTCGATCACTTTTGAGGCATGTGCGGAAGTGTTGCCTGCCTGCATAATAAACTGTCGTTGAGAACGTTGCACATTAATGCGTGTGGTGGCTGTCAAAGAGTGTCAACAGTACGCGTGCTCAATAGCCGGGTGCCACCACAGTCAGCACACCCCGCCCCTCTTTAGAAAACTTTAAATAAAGCAGCCACATATGTTTTGCATTTTATTTTTTATCTATGTCTCTCTCTCCGAGTCTTTGAATGCAAATGGCCCTGAACCAGTGACATGTTTTCTGTGTCGCAAACACAAAAAACTACAGCTACAAAAAATGCATGAAACTGCAAATAAACTGGGCATGGAAAAAAGCGGCATCAACATCGAATGCGCCGCTTGACATGCTTGTGGCGCTCATCACAGCCACAAAAGTTGCAACTGACGATGAACGAAATGTATTTTCAATTGCGTCCCTGCAAAGCGTCATAGTGGAGCGAACAAGTCGAATAACGTAAATGGAAAACCCTGCCAAATACTGTATTAGTATTAATCTCTAGGATTAGTTACGATATTTTGATGAACATTAACGTTAAATTTGCATCCTTGTAGCGAAAGATAAGGAAACAAAAACGACTTGCATGATTTCGACAGGATGTAACAGATGTCTCTCAAATGTGATTTTAATAAAATTGTAGGTATGGGAAAAAGTCTCATAATAGTAATATCATAAGAGATATATACTCGTACTATTGTTAAAATTATAAATTTCAATTGAATATATAAAAAACAACAACAACAAAAAACAGAAATGAAGTTACTCTTGCAACATTGTTCGATTACATTTTGACCAGCACTTTGGCCTTTTTGGCATAATAAATGAGTACGTACTATCATAAATTCATAACAATACTGTTTTGTGGTGAACTAGTCCCACTGTTTGCAAAACTCATGCTTTATACCGACTTTAGAGCTCAGCATTATATCTAGGTGCGTCCCTGGTGGTGTTGGCTGCCAATTTTGCATGTCCACAACATTGACTGTCCATTAAATAGTTACCAAATTTTTATGGGGCCTTTAACTCGTATGCAGCGCGCTGCGCTCTCATTTTATCTAAACTGCCTTGCCACAAAAATAAACAAAATTAGCGCAATGTAAAAACATTTGGGTGGGCAGCCGGCATATAATAAAATAAACTTTACAACCATGCAAAACAGTCACCAGCAACTAACGGGTTGATAGTGGAGGGTGTTGGGCGTAGGGCGTTGGTTGGTATATGGTTAGTGGAGGCCTGTGGCTAGCCAAGCGGCCACTCGGTTTAACTAAATTAAAATCGTGTTAATTTCACATTAGAGCGCACACAGTGGAAATCCCCAAACGGTGGCCATTACAAACAAGCGGCAACTGTCACACGTTGTGCCACAGCAGCAGCAGCAACAACAACAGCAACAAAAACTGCAACTACAACCATAAACTGTACAACAATAACAATACCCGAATAGCAACACTGCCCATAAAATTAATAAGAAACAAGAAGCATTTTGTTCAAATTAGCATTTCAAATGTGCTATAATGTGAAGTAAATACAAGTATTGTAAATTCCTGATGATTTCTAAAACCTAAAATGCTCTGTTATTTAATGTTTCTTAAAATAAATTAAAATATTTTAAATGGACACCCGTATGTATTCTACAAATTTTCAACGATTGCTTGAAAACTGGGAAACAGAAAGAAAATTAATTTTGAAATACAAATTAATTATTAAATACGGCAAAAGCCAGAACAAGGCAGTTCATTAAAATGTGAAACTTTATTTCTAAAAATGAGCGGTAGTTATATTTTAAAAATATATAGTTTAAAGCATTAAAATCATGTTGGATAGTTTAATTGGCCCGCACATGAGGATTGCCGCAACGATGCAGCCGCTAAACAAAATGACCAAGATAAGTGTGCATGCGACCAGCAGCTTGCCATTGGTCAGAGAGGGTAGCTAACAACTATGCAGGGCCCCTGGGGAGTCACACTCACCGGTGTCGAGTAAGGATGTGCTGTCAGACGTATGCCGTCCGCCTCCAAATGCCGCTTCATCACAGCCTCCAGCTCCTTCATGGTCACAGGCGTATCACAGTCCGAGGCGAGAATCTCATTGCTGTTGCTCAAGGCCTTCGGATCGTTGATGAGCACATAGACAATGGCAGCACCCTTCTCACGCAGCGTGCGCACACTCTTCAGCAGTTTGCCACGATGCGCCGCACTGTCCACACCAATGGCATCCAGATCGATCTCTCCGATTTGTTTGCATATCTCCAGCTCATCGTAGCCGTTCTCTAAAAAACTTTCGGCATACTGCGGTAGACCAATGGTGCGCAGCCATTCGCAGACGATGTTGTGATGTGGCATATTCGCGTATCACGTGGCGTGGGGCAGCACCGCAGAGGGCGCGGCAATGTCCAGCGGTGCAAACGAGACTTTTGGCAGTTTAAGAGCGGGCTTGATGGGTTTTGAAATGTTGGAGGCGGATGTTGAGCTTGAGCTGGCACTGCCGCTGCTGTTGTTGTTGCCGCCAACTGCAGATGCTGAACCCGTTGGCGGCTCAAAGTGGCTGAGTGGATAGCCGCTGGTGTTGTTGCTGCTGGCGCTGACTGCGCTGCCGCTGTTGTTGTTGCTGCTGCTGGCCGTTGCCTTCATAGCAACGTTTTGTACACTTTGTAGTGGGTGGGTGGTTGTTTTTATTTTTATTGATGGCCTGCAAGTAAATGGAGAGAGACAGAGAGAGAGAGAGTAAGGAAAAGGGAGGAGTTAGAATGAAAGCCGGCTTATGGTTAAGTGTTAGGCCTGATACTGATACTTAATTCGGTTTGGCACTTCCGGCGCCCATATAAGTATGCTACGAGAATAGCTTTGTTTGGCCTGGAACATCTTATGCATAGGCAGGTATAAAACGCATTTATAACTGACTGGGCAGCAGCCATATCAATTTGTGTTAATAGCAGTCATTGTTCAAGCTCACACACACACATTCACATTGTCGCCTATAAGCACTTAATGATAATGCTCGGTCATGTACACGAGCTACTAGAACACTTGAATACGTTTAGCCCCGGAAGCCACTTGCATATGAATAAGCCACTTAAAATGACAGATGAACTAAACACACACACTCATACACACACACACACATACATACTCCTGCAATCAGCCGACAGGCATAGACATATGAGCAGACGTTGCGCCCCCGGCCAATAGACAAAAGACAAAAGGAAGTCGTCTAACTATTTACAATGACTGAGCAGACAGTCCAAGCTGGGCCTCGACAAAAATATTTTGCTTGTCAAAAACTAAATGCAAATATCACTGCAATCCAGCCAGCTCACAGTAGTCCATATATATTTATGTTTGGTTACACGTTTAAAATTATGTTTTAATTTAAATAGGTAAGCTGTGTTACGAGACCCCAAATATTGCAATCTAAGCTCAAGCAATACAAAATCGGGATATCTTTGCCTTGTTTAAAAGATTCTTAAAAATTATAAATCAATTCTGGCGCACAAACAAAAATGTTATTAGCGATGTGTTTTTTTACATACTTGGTTTATTAATTAAATTTTCATATGATGAATTCAGAATTCTTCAAGAATAATAAAAATAATTATATATATCAAAGAAACACCCCCAATACAATTTGTTGGACCTTCCTCCTAACATAATATTAAAAAAAAAATCAATGAATACTCAAATTTTAAGCCTTTAGTTTTGAAGTCAGCCCCAGAGTGCCCTTTGACACTCAAGGGCAAGCTGTTGCGGTTGTCTCAAAAATATTTGATGCTATTTCCTATACGCATTCGTCTGCCTTACATCAGGTGTCCACTCGTGCGCAGACATCGCTCAGTACTCTACAGCAAACTTAAAGTAAATGCCAACCGGAAAAACAAAGACACAGACATTCACACACTCAGAATCCCATAAACAATGCCTTAATGAAAATAATGTGGCTACATTTTGGAAGATGCCATTTTCCAGCACGCATAGCTGTTATCGTCATTAAGTGGGTGGACAGAGGTCCTACTCTGTAGACAACTCTTGGGCGTTGATTTATGCATTGACATGGCACTAGGTCGACTCTGTACTTCTACTTGTGTGTACGTGTATGCGTGTGTGTGTGTGAATGTGAGCGAGCAAGTGAGACAGCACTAATTGTCTTTGGTTTTCATGCTTTTCTTATTGATAAACACATGCGGTGCAAAATACCAAAGGAAAAAGCATTCTTGTGGGACGCAACAGCAGGGCTTATGAATTTTCAGCTATAAAAGGGTAATAAACTTCTTCACCATGAATTGGCAGGCGACAACAAGACCGACGACGAGTTCATTTATAACTAATGTCGCTTAATAATAGCACTTTATAAAATGGGGAAATTAGTCTGCAGTCCATTATTAGATTAGAAAAATTTAATAAAGATATTCATGATGTGTGATATTTTATTTAAGTGTATTTCTAAGTACCTGGGAGCTCTTGAAGCTCAGTTGAGATCCTTCTAAACCATCATAATTATTTACATATTTTTAAATAATTTACTACAAAACCTAACTAGTCAGCGAATTAAATATAAACCATACTGTCTCCGTACAACATATTTTTCATTTATTCGAATTTTTACAATTTTGCCTGATTATGCACAAAAAAAACAAAACAATTGAATATGTACATATGTATAGTAGTATGTTTTAATGTATTTTTTGTTTCTCTATATTTATATTTAGTTTATGTTAAGAAAACAAAGTACTAGGTGATGGGGTGAGTTTCGCAACACTTGGTACTTTGTGCATACCTCACATCTCAAAATAAAATGATCTTCTTATGGACGAATCATCCTATGTTCGATTAAATAGTGCTGCTAGTTCATTGGAAATTTTATGCGACTCCACTTGCTGAAGTCATAATTGAATTGTTCTTATTACCGGCAAACTCACGTGCTTTCGCTCAAAACTAACTACCACAAACTCTATTTCAATCTGAATTTTTTGCCAGTCTTAATTCTGACGTTCATATCCACAATATATTTATGAAATAATACGAACAAATTTCTAAATAATACTAAATTTCCAATTCCAGTATCCAATCGATAAATAATTGAGCTAAAAACCATCCTCTCTTTTAAGTTAGAATATTAATACTCTTGTTGAATTAATTTTCAAAATCCTTGAATAAACTTCAAATGTTTGATTAATTTCTTTAAATCAAATGCATTTTCGTCGGCTGTTCGCACACACAAAAGTCGAATACAAACCTTTGCAAATCTCATCCGACATCGCCGCTGCCTAACAGCATGTCATGCGCACGCCCACCCCCGTCTTTGCAGCTACCGCACATTGTTAGCATAATAAACACATAATAAAATGCATAAGGCAAAATCAGTAAAGTCAATGTTGAAGATATTTTGCATACTACAAGGCTGAAAGGACACTACTAGCCAGGACACGACAGGGCAAGGCAGGGCAGGGCAGGTTTGGAGAGTTGCAGCTGCTATATTTACGAGCAGCACGACAAGAAGTTAGAGCAGAACCACAACTACAAGGTGCAGGCACAGTTAATGAATGCTACACTGCCAAAGTTGATCTTACAAACAGAGTCAACAATTCCAAAGCTGCATAAAAGGTTGCATACAAACAGGCGCGCAGTGTAATTACATGACTGCCTAACAGTACATGTATAGATGTGTGTGTGTGCTTGCACATGCGGATGTATCCTCAGGTAGCCAGTCGCATTGCCCGATAAGCGTCTTAAATTTTCAATTTCATTGTTTATTAAGTGCTAAATAATTGTGCTTGTGTATGTGTGTGTGTGTAAATGTTTGTATAATTTGCATGTATGTGCGTATGCGTGTCAGCTTGTGGCAATTGTCAAAAGGTGTTTTGCTTGCGCACGATTTCCGTTTGTAATTATTGTGCAAATTTTGTGCAATCTCCGGTTACCGGGTTTATGAGATTTTCCACTTTATCGTTCATGTATTTACCGGCTGCACGATCCTTTGAGTGTGTGTGAGCGTATATGTTTGTGTTTAATTAAGACATTGATTATGTGCAGGTTATTATTAGTTCACAAACGCCTTTGAGGTGTGAACATTTCATATATTTGCCACCTGCCTTTGAACACATTTCCAAATTTAAATGCTTTTGCATAGCAACGGGTGCATGTTTTACTATATTTTCTTTTTTATTTTTTTATGTGAGTTTGGCAAACAGCACAAGTAATTAATTTTAATATGAAAGTCAAACACACACACACACACACACGCACACAATTGTCATATAATTTGCCGTCTAGACAGTGGAAATTTAGTATTTTCAATTAACTGCAACAGCGACGGGGGGCAGCAGGAATAACAACAATGCAGGCTCACAAAAAAGGCACACAATGCATAAACGGGTGAGCATGTTGACAAACCACACTCACACAAGCACACACACGAATATATGCAAATGCAATGCATGTAAAATGGAGGGAAAAACAACAAGTCACAGTGTTCAAGTCGGATATGGAATACCCTGCAAAATATGCCTCATAAATTGTAAGCCAATTCAAAACCTAGCCTGAATAACGACCGTAAAAAATATAAATAGCAGCTTTTTCTTATTATATCAGAGAGCTATATTTGTAGCAAATAAATGTGACTGTGTAATTAAAGCATTCCAGACGTTAATTCCAATTTTTAAAGATGTAAGGGTATATTATTTTGCTGTGTGTAAGCTTGTAACGCCTTTAAGGCCTAACACAAAAATAAATAGTAATAGTGTTTGTTGCATGAAACAGTCTATATAGCTTCGTCTTAGAAAAGGATAACTTTTTAATTAATTTTTATTGAATTTGTAAAAATCCAAATAATTTGTTGGGTGATGATTAAACGACTTAAATATCTGAAGATATAACATTAAGAACTATTTTTCTAACTATAGATTGCTAATTAGGTCTATTCACGTCTGTAAAACGAGGTATAGTTGGCCGAAAGGCAATCAGAAGCGTTTATTATAAATTTAATTCGATTCCTATATTAATTGAGGTATGAAATAAATATACTCGTGTAAATGTTAATTTTAATTAGAAAAAAACTAATTTAAAACTTATACAATAAAAATAAAACCATAATAATAAAGCTTTATACATCCATCCATACGCTTAAAAACTTATGATTTGTACCAGATTTGAGGATTCCCCTAATTAGATAGCCGCGTGTTCCTTTCTTTTTAATGTATCTTTTTCTTTTAAACCATCTGTGTTGCATTTGTACTGGAAGTTACAAGTTTTTTAAAACATGTGAGTATTAAATAATGTTACATTATAATTAAAAACAAAACTGTTAATTCATTTTGAAACATTATATATTTCCTATTTACACTGATCATCCCCTATATTCACTG